GCCAGATTAAGAATCCACAAAATAAATAATAATAATACAATATAATCAAATAATCATGTACATCTGTCTGTAAATAATTTAAAAGAGTAGAGATGAGCTGAATTAGATGCWGCTTGAGTTCAGCAGTCTGATGGCTGAAGGGTAGAAGCTGTTTCTCAGCCTGGTGGTTTCTGGATAGATTCAGTATGTGATGAGGATTATTCTCAGCTGAGACCACATCAAATTTAATCCTAATATGTCTAAAAATGGTTGAATTATGGTCAATTTGACACTTTAGCTATGGCAGCCATCTAGGATTTTTGATTCGGATTCAGAATGTGATGGGGATCATTTAAGGCTGCTACTTTTTTGTTATGGGATGCAGTCCATCTTTGGCAATCCGATGTGTCAGGTACTCCACACTGCTCTGAAGATAACAGCACTCTGAAAGCTCCACTTGGACACTTGAGCACTTCTTCCAACCTCTTTAAATGTTCCTTCTCAGATGAGGCAGCGATGAGAATATCACCCAAAAAACAGGTCATGTGATCCATCCCTTGAAGAATCTGATCCAGCACAGACTGTWAAAGAGCAGGAGCACTGGTGACCAACAGATCCTCAGGATTCAGAAGTGGACATCTCTCCTCTTCAATGCACCGATTGATACTGACTTTGTAGTCACCCCATGTCCTAACTGTTTTGGCTGCTTTTGGTACAGTAACAACAAGAGATGCCCACTCACTTTTCTCAACCTTTGAAATCACCTTCACCTTTTCCAATCTAACTTTTTTTCCTGCAGTTTCCTTTAGTGCATAACGAACTGGGTGAGCTTTGTGGAAAACTGTTGTGGATTCTGGCTTTAAATCCCTCGATGCTGCCTTGGTCATCTGAAAACACTGCCTGATGGTGCTGGATCACTTCTTGCACTCCTGGTTTGCTTCTTTCTGCACTAGTACCCTGTGTACTGTGAAGGTCAGTTTATAGTTTAGCATACTAATATCGATTTTCTTTCAGTTAGGCTGTAGTTTTTTTAACCAGTTTGGTCCAATCAGAGCTGGCCTGTCTCTCTGAATGATGATCAGTAGTAGGGTAATTTTTTTGTGTCTCATACTGTACTGGTACTACAATATATCCACAGTGATGTTTTACTTCAGTTTTAAAAGGATCCCCGATTAGTTGTAACATTAGACTTTATTTGATAAACATTTATTTTAATTTTAAAATTTAGACTGTAACAATACTGTAGGATGTTTTGTTTGGTAATTAAAAAAATATATATTTTAACACAGACGGAGCCATTTTATTTACACACAAAGCATTCTGGGTAAATGATGACGTGGATAGGTCCTTGGTGTGAGCGAGCTATATCCACCCTGAAGGTTAATCTTGGACAATATCTGACGATCGACTCTTTTAAATGACAGTATTGACAGAGAGGAGAAGGTAGAAATGACTCAGCCTGTAACTGAAAATATAGATGGAGGACAACAGACCTGCTTCATGGAAGAAGAACCTCCTTCACGCTAACGCCGATGCTAAATTGCCTTATATGTATTAGCTTGGTGCTAGCGTGACAAACTAACAAGATAAACTGAGGTCCTCCATCCACATGCTGAGTCATTTTTGTGTTCCCCGCTCTGTCATGTGGATGGAGGACCTCAGTGACGAGAGGAGAATGTGTAGCGCTGAGCTAATACATATAAATGGTGATAGCATCGGGGTTAATGCTAAAGCTAACAGGCTAAGCTGAGGTTCTTCTTCCATGAAGCAGCTCTGTTGTCCTCCATCCATATTTTCAGTTACAGACTGAGTCATTTCTACCTTCTCCTCTCTGTCAACGCTCTCTGGTTTCATTTAAAAGAGTCGATCATCAGATATTGTCCAAGATTAACCTTCAGGGTGGATATAGCTCGCTCACACCGAGGACCTATCCACGTCACCATTTACCCAGAATGCTTTGTGTGTGAATAAAATGGCCCCGTCTGTGTAACATATTTTTAAACTTTTAGTTTAAAAATTATAAAAACTAAACAGCCTACAGTATTTTTACAGTCTTTATTTTACAGTTAAAATATATGTTTATCAAATAAAGTCTAATGTTACAACTAATCGGGGATCCCTTTAACCCACTGGCTGGTTTTATAGGAAAATGAGTGAGATGTGTCCAGTACCACAATATCCAGCAACATGGGAGTGTTCTTATCTCCCAGTGAAACATTTACTGTGTATCCTTTTTCACGGGAGGTGATGGAGTACACTGAATACACCAGAAAATATAAAATTTAAGGCACCTTTGAAAACTCCCAAGGGCACATTACAGAGGTCAATAATAAAATCACAATAGAACAGTAAACACAATAAAAATAGTCAAATCAATTAACAAAATAAAATAGTGCAAAGAATGGAATGAGCAATGAATAGAGGCAGATGAATTCATTGCAAAACACTGCATTTCTCTCCTAACCTTATTCATTTGAAATGACAAGCCCTAATAACTTATAATCAAATTAGTAAAATTACAAATACTGTTTTCTTTTTTCCCCTCACTTTTTTTGAAGTATAGACCACTCAGGTGTGTCTGTTCCTGTTCGAGGACCACTATTTTGCACGTGTTACATTTTTCTCTGCTTCAAAACACCTGATTCGAATGAATGTGTGATTACAGGCTTCTGCAGAAATCTGCTGAAAAGCAAGAAAACAGCTAAAGCATGCAGGGTAGTGGCCCTCGAGGACCAGGATTGGGCACCTAGTGGTGCCAGTAAGTCTGATTTAGTTGTCAGACTTGCTTTTGGCTGTTTGGTAAAAAAAATAAAATAAATTTACAAATCAAGAGCAGGGAGAAGGAGTATGATAAAGATTAGGCATCAATGGAGTCCATTCAGATCAGTTTTTCAACTTGGCCTGACCCTGATTTTGTTATTTGTTATCAAATCAAGACCATCAGTAAAAATTCCACTTGATGATTATAACATAGTTATTATACACCTCATTATAAAAGTGTTGCTAGGAAACAGTGTGCATCCAACTCAGTTTTATTAAATATTTAAATCATCAGCAAACTGTAGCAGGGAGTAAACACTGCTCATGTTTCAAACTAAAAACCTTATTCTGTGATTTTTATTGGGACGCTGACTTGAACTCAGCATGACGTTTAATTTAAGGAAGATAAAGTGGAAAATGTGGGATTATACCAAAGTTAAAAGACTTTCTGACTAACACTGATGCAACTTTAAGCTGTTATTTCCATGTGTTTTTGTGTAACAGAGTCAAATTTGTTATGAAATAAAGAGGAAAGAAAAACTTATGAATATGATGAGCTGCCATTAAAGGTTTATAAGATGTTAACGTTTTGATTCGCATGCCTGGATTAGATACAAACGGTTCTCCATCTTTTTTCCTTATGAACTAACATTTTTGTGCAGTAAAAATAATTAGACTCAAGTGCTTGTCTGAATTTTTAGAGGAACTAGTTTGTTGAAGTGTTTTTTTTTTCACTTTTATGTCCTTTTTTACAAGCTAGTCTCTGTTCAGGTGGCTTTTCTTTTTATAAGAGTTAATAAAAAAATATTTAGTGTTCTCTAATTGATTCCTTAAAGCATTAATTAGTGCTTCAATTATTTACCTTTTTAAAAATTTTATATCTAAAATGAAGCAGAAAAGCTTAAATATGAGACACATTCTGTGAGGTTGTGCAGGCAGAATGACCCAGGGCGCAGGCAAAATCCAAAAACACAGTTTAACGAACAAAAGAAGGGCTGTCGTGGCAGCAAAACTCACAAACAATCTCAGGGAACTCGAGGAACATGGAGGACAACTACAGCAACTGAAAACAGTACAATGATCAGACACAGACGACAAGACACCAAATATAAAGGGAAGCTAATGAGGACAAATGAGAAACACCTGGAGGAGACACAAGAGGAAACAGGTGAGCGTGGGCGGGGCTGTAGGGCAGAGAGACACGGGAACAAAAACCAAGAAAACAAACACAGACTGTGACACATTCAACTTCCCTTAATACATAACTGAACAAATGTAATAAGCAATACACAGCTGGTAACAAGAGTCCTGTTGGAACTTCAGATTAGCAGATCTACATAGTTTCTTTAGTTATTTATATGGAAACACTTTTGTGATTTAAAAAAGGTTCTTGAATCATATTGTCATTAATAATTTACAATGTCATTATCATGAGTTAAGAATTTATTTATCATTCAAGAAAACTTTATATTTCATATTTTTTAGAATGATGAGGCTAATTTTTGAAGAGATTTTTGTTCATTTACAAGTTGATGACTTAGGCCTACAGTGCAGTCTGAGATAAAATTCTGTTTTTAATATCAGAATTTTTACTTTTTTCCTATAACATTCCAGGAAATAAATAAATAACTGTGGCCCTAATGCTCTTCTGTAAATTTAACATCAAAAATGGATATTTTTTAACTGTTTACAAACCTGTTTCCGTGCAAGTCCAACAATTTAGCTAAAACAATTACAGGTAAGTGAAAACATTTTTAAGCTTTATTTTTATTTTTTGGTGATGTGCTGCTGCTATTAATGCAAAATTACCTTGTTTTTATTATTAGGCACAATTTTTTTCTTAGTGTAAACGTTGGATATGTTCACTATATTCCAGTGTAAATCAAATACTGGTTAGATTATGATTTTTTTTTTTACTTTTTCACAACCTTACAGTTTCTTCAGCTTTTGATAATTATGATTTAGTATTCCACAGTTTATTGTGAAATACCTAAAATCGGAACATTTTACTTTTATTTGTGAAAATAAAAGTATCTCAGTCTTTTATTAGTTTATTTTTTGTTTAATTTTAATCAGAAATTTCTCAGAAAAAATAAATAATAACACAGCATATGAAATAAAAGTGTCCCAGCTAAGAATCCTATAAATTCCCTGTGTGAAGCTGAGGTTTAAGTCCTCTGGTCCCCCCTCCTGTCTCTCTGGCTCCATCACACCAGTGCACGGCCTGCCCTGCTTGGAGAGAATCCTCCTGTTTGTGGATCAAGAGGCGGGTCTTTGGAAAGCAGGAATGCACTGAAAGTTTTCCTGCAGGAACTCTCCTCCACAAAGCTGGAAAAAGAAGCGTCCCAACGACGTGGACATGTGGACACTGGTGCTGCTGTTTGCTCAGCTCTGTTTCTGCTCTGGGTATGAAGGTAAGAACTGGACTGAGGGCCTTTATTCAGCTTGTGGAAATAAACAACATTAATAATAATAATAATAATAAATAATAACTCAGAGGAATAAATATCAAACAGGTGGACAGCTTTATCTGCACTCTGTCCTGTGGGGCAGAAAGACTTTTGGCTGCACACTTTAAAGTCTGTGGTTTGTTCGTTTTTTTCTTTTCATGCACTGTTTGTGGTGACTTGTCTGGTGAACCGCAGTTGTGTTTGGGTGGAGGGGGTGTGTGAAGCGGGGGGAGTGCAGTGTGCATCTGGGGGACAGACCACTSTGCTCTGTGCCTCGAATGAAAGACCCTGTTCTGTAAGTTTTACACTTCCTATCGGCCAGGAGGCCTTTAACAGAACACAACATTAGAGCTCAACACACTTAAAAATGAGGGAGCAGATTTCTAGCAGAAGAGAAAAGCAGCACTCTGGGAAAAATTCTCATCTCTGTTTAAAACAAACAGAAGACTTCTGCGACTCTTGTTTTGCATGAAAAAAGACAATAAAAGACACATTTATGAGGTTATTTCCAGTGATAATATAATTAATTAGGCACGTCTCTATTTATAGAAACAGTCGTTTTATCATCATGTAGTTACATTCCGAATAAATGATAAATTTCACTAGAAAGCCAGTTAATGTTGGCACTCTTGTTTGTGTCTTGGTTATCATTTAACATWACTTTATTTTTTTTAACCATAACAAGTAGAGAAGATATTCAAGAGTTATTAGAGTACAGCTACATGATGAGGAGTACTATTTCTTAAAATTTGTCAATGAAGTTGTCTTTGCTTTGCTGGTGCATACTCTGGGTCTTCTGTTTGTGTTTCTGAATCAGTATTAGATTGTTGTGGTGGTCTATTTTACGTGCTCGCCAATTAAACAGAAAGATCCTCCAGCAGCTTATTTTTGTATACTGTATGTGTTTGTAAAATCTGGAACAGACATTTTAAAAATGCAAACACTTTGTTCAAAAGACCTGCTGCTGCTCCTTAGAAAAGTCCAGTTGAACGTTGAGTCACTTGGAACAAACTTAAAGGGAGCACTGGGGCCAAGATATCAAGATATAATATAACACCATAATATACGGTAGGTATGCACAAATGACTCTTGAATATCTTTGTGACCAAATGTGGTCAATACTGATGTGAAATAATAACTAAAGAATATAAAAAAGTGACAATTTCTCATTAAACAATAGGACCAACATCTCTGTTTGGCCCCAGAACCATTAATGTAGTCAAAGGCTATTTAACTTCTTTGCAGCTTTAATGGGTGAACTCTTTCAAATTTTCATGTTTGTTAATTATCTGTTTCTATACATACACACAAAGTTCAAACCTTGGCAAAGGATTGTGCGTCTCTCTCTCTCTCTCTCTCTCTCTCTCTCTCTCTCTCTCTCTCTCTCTC